CATTATTACGTATTAAATTATTTTGTTTCTTATCACTGCTTACAATTATTGAAATATCGTCCATGAATATAATACATTTATGACTGGTGACTAGCTTTATATCATTTATATATAGAAGAAACAATATTGGACCCAAAACGCTACCTTGAGGAATGCCGTGTTTGTTCTCTTTGAAACAAGATGAGAAGGACAACATTTCATCTCGTACATTCTTTTTTCTTACGACACATTGTCGACGGGTTGCTAAGTAGGAATATATCCATTTAAGATGGAGTCCGCTGAAACCGACCATTTGCAGCTTTCGTAATAATATGCTGTGCGAAACGGGATCGAAGGCTTTCGTTAAATCAAGAAATAATCCTGTGATTAAAAAATTGTTATTTATTTTTGTTAAAATTGAACTAATGAGCTGAAATGTGACAAATGTTGTCGATTTTTGTTTCTGTAAGCCATATTGATCATTTTATAGGGTTCCGTACCTCAAAAGGGAAAAACGGAACCCTTATAGGATCACTTTGTTTATTAAATTGAATTTCTCGCAAAAAAATCTAGTAGTCTTTTATACAAACATTTTTCTAATATTTTTAACAATACTGGTATTAATGTAATTGGACGATAATTGGTAATATTATTTCTCTTACCCGTTTTAAGTAATGGCTTTAAAATAGACAGTTTTAATTTTTCCGGAAAAATACCACATGAAAATGACAAGTTAATTATATAATATGTCAAAATAAAGACTAATTTATTGACAGACTTCTTAATTATTTTCGTATTAATACCCTCATATTCTTCCGAGTTAGTGTTATTAAGAGATAGGATTTCTTTTTAACCTCTTCTTTTGTCATGAGCTTAACAAACATTGAGTTAGAGAGTGATTTCTCATTACTAGTATGGCTCTTTGGTTTATTCATTATTGTCAAATTATTAGGGAAGTTAGTAAAATAATTATTGAAAATCGAGGCTATATTAGTAGGATTTTTAATCAGTTAATTATTTATTTTCAAATCCGTAACGTCATGGTCGAAATTTGAATTTGAGATTGCATTTTTATACGTGGTAAAGCCATGCTGCACCTGTCATAGTAGTATAGTTATAGTACGAATGGGTCGGCTCGACCGGGGAAGGACCATGCTCTCACAGAACACAGCGTTAAATAGCAGCATAACACTGCTGTGTTTCGTATGGTGAGTGTAGACAACTGGAGACCCTTTTTACTGGATAGGAGGCATTCCATCTTAGTCCTCACGAGTGACAACGCATCTGCATTTTGATTCGAAAACGAGGATAGATGTAGATGTCTATGGGCCACAGAAATCACTTACCATCAGTTGGACTGTGTGCTGGTTTGTCACTCGATCCTATAAAAAAAATTATTACAGACCATGTACATTTACATTTATTTTTGCTTTTGTGTATGAATTTTATAGTAGAATTTATTTTCGGTATTTTAATACATTTTTTCAAAATCTTTGAATATGTGATGTAACTTTCCTTATTTAATTCTGATTTATTCCTGTAGTATCTATATCGAAGTAATCTCTTAGTTTTACACCTCTTTGCTTATCTCTACAAAATGCAGTTGCTAATTCGTAACCCTTTATTTTTGTAAGTATTTATCGTAACCAGTTCGCAAAAATGTTTCAGAGAAACATAGTAAATCGGGTTCATTCTCGGCCTCACGTAACTCATGCAGTGTTAATTCTAATAGTTCTTGTTATGATAAAATACTAGCAATGTTTGATGCATGATTTTGAGAGAGACGGCTTTTGCTTTTTGTTCCCGAATAAACTGGTTGCTATCTATTATGGGGAAGTAACAGGGTATGGTACCTTTTTTCGAATCAAAAGTGGGTTTGATGACAAAAGTTCCCCTAATGGAAGCACTTTGTAACTGCATTTTTGCGAAGTAATAGGGAATTAGGCCTTTCAGGTGTTTTGTATTAAATTAAGTTGCTTCCTGAGGATGTGGTTTATTGCGAATTATTATCTTTTGCAGTTCCTTAATATTTAAATACTTATTATCGTAGTCAATACAGTCGATGATATAGTTGATTGATTTACACATTTTAAGCAAATTGCTATTAATACATTCTACAAAATAAAAGTTTTTAATAATCATTGCAAGTAATTTTTAACGCATTATTCAATTCATAAACATTCAAATACATATTTTTAATGGGTTAATAACAATCACATCATTGTTACTAAATTAATTGAGCAAAGTACGCAATTGAGATGTTAATATATTAATATCATAATCATATTCACTGATACATATTACAATTTTATCATTTGATGTTACTTTTAGGTTATGACAGTTTTTTAAAATATCTGCAGCTAGAGCATACGGTATCGTTAGCGAAGTAACCAAATATTTTTCGTATGTCGTACGCTCTCGTGACCATATCAATGCAGCGGCTAAACCAACACATTGTTGAGTTCCAGTGATCAATATCCTGTTACCACAAGCTTGCGTTTCGGTATCCTTGGAATATGTTTTATCATTAAAATTAGATATTGTAAAGGCCTGAAATCTTGCTGAGGGCAATTCTTCTTCCCAGGCCTGGGTTCGTTTCATGAGTTCCATTATTTCTATCTGAAGTAGATAATCGAGTAGGCGTAATGAACTTTGCATGATATATTTACTATCCTTTTTAGAGCTGCGATTTATTCGAATGGCATGTTACGGAGACTGGAATATTGTTTTTGGCATAATATTTTCTTTATTTAACTTAGTAATTTCTTTGCGCAGGTCACTATTTTCCATTAATGTACTATCCAATTCATTTTGTGAACTAATGAGTTCTGTCCGTAGTTGTTCTATAGTTTCCTTCATTTCTTATACTGAGATATAATCAGCTATTGTATAATCCACACTCCTTGAGAGTAACTGATCCGGTGTCAGTGGAGATTCATCTGATGTCTGCATTTCTGTAAGTATGTGAGAGTCATGTATTTGGGAATTCGTACAAGAAGGCGTTGAAGGAGCCGACTCTGGTATCTTCATAAGTGTAGTGTTACAGTACAATATCGGGGAATGCTGTTTCTTTCTCATTGCGACATAGGATAATTCACTCTTGTCAGTGGAGCATAGGTTTGTTTTATTGTCAAAAATCTTACAAGTACATTTTTTCCTTGTATTAGAGTCCTTTAGGCGATGTAATTTTTCTGAATATCCAATACAATCGAACAGTGCTTTTACATTTATCACATGTAACATGCACTGAAATCTTACGGCTACTTTTTGTACTTTTTGGTTGCGCTTTCGTTGACATCGCAATGAGCGAAATATATTTAATGATCACAAAAGAAATAGTTCTTATAGTTCAACAAACTTCCGCTAGATCTCAGCACATTGTTTTAATTCAATGAGTGATTCAAATATGTTGACAGAATAGTTTAGTTTAACAATATCATACTAGGTGTCATTAGTGGTCCGGTTTCCCGTATGAATAACAACAGCCGATTGGTCAGCTGAGTGTTGTTTACTGTTAACTTGAGGTACAAAAATTTTATTGAACTTAAACAAAGGTTACTTTACAAAATCCACAAAATTATACTAGTTTGAATATTAGTTTGAACTTAGCATTTATTATTATTTTATAACTCACTTGATATATAACCAATCGTAATAAGAATAAATAAGATCAATAACCAATCGTATTCAACACTAGTCCTTTAAGTGTTCACCGAGATAACATTTGTGCACAATCTTAATCTAACTTTGATATATTAACTCTGAAACAGTGAAATAGTCAAATTACACTTTTTATTCCATTTTAATACAGGAGCCAATGTATATATGGTCACTGTTAGTGTCACGGATACTATGCCATGCTATTGCTATGATATTATCATTAAGCTGGCTTTTCACTATGGGATATAATATATATGCCGGCACCAGCACCATTACACGTGCGGTACCGTCGGTGTAGCTAGACAGAATTCTTGTAAATAACACGTGCTCCGCACACCTGCACCATTGCACCTGCGGTGGCGCCCGTTTAGCTTGTATAAAACGGACGGAGCTGCCGCCGTTAGGACAGTCTTGGCTCTGACGTGGAACGGTGCGCTTGTCGTATTCCGATACTAGTTTATCCTCGACTCGTTGGATAATTAATTCGTGTAAACGAATTAATTATTATTCTTAACTACAAAATCAGTCTCTGTACTACACCCACTAATTTTCCTACATATATTATATCCCGAAATATAAATTATATTCCGCGATTGGCTTTCACACTGAGATATATCTTTTAACTAGTTGCGTTTTTCATTGGATTACCCCCTGTACGCCGCAAACCGTTCTGCGGCGGCGCGAAACGGTGTGAGGCACTGACCTCTATATATACATATATGGGTGTGCGGGGTACAGGGGTCGAAATATATGAAAATACAGCTCGGTCGATCGAAAAAATTTATAGTTTGAGATGTAATATATATTATAGCTCAGTGTAAACGGTTCCATTTAAAAGTATAGTGAGCGATATTAATTTATATCTCGAGATGTAATAATATTTATTATATTATATCCCATAGTGAAAAGCGGGCTTTATTAGTGTTATTATAACCTCAAACCTATGTTGCCAGCGAAAGTTTATAAGTATCCGAGATACTACCTCATCACTTACAATGGAGAAGTTTTATGATGTTGTTAATACTATATTCAACGTAATGGTATTAAAATATAGATCAAAAATAATCAATCTCAGAAAAAATTTTTGAAATCTATCAATAAATGACTTAAAAATAGATTAATGAGTTTACGTATTTTAGTACGGAACGTCTGCGGTATCTGATTCGCCTGTGACGTCATTTGACCTATCCAAGATCATCGCAACACGAATTCAAGTATTAGTTTCACAAGCGCCAGGGCTCTTGCTTCGTTCGTGTTTATTTACGTACCATAGATAAATATATACGAGTATGTAGCAAGCTATTACGTACAGTCGTTTGTTTCTTTTTTATTTATGAGTGTATTGTTTTTATTTCACTATAATGGAAGAAGGCTTCGTCAAAGGACAAAGTGATAATTTGCCTAATATTGATATACACAGCAATGGACTTTTTTTCTTTAAATCCGTCTTATGTTAGTGCTGAAATAAAAGGAGTTAAACTTTTCAAGTAAGTATATACTTTTAAGTTTATTTCATCAACCACATATTTGTTTTAAATAAAAGTGTTAATTTATTTAATCGCGATTTTAATTAAAATCGAAAAAATGTTATAAAATCTAATTATTAATAATCTGTGTTGCCACCTTTTACATTAATTACACATCTACATCGATTGTTCATAGTTAACATTAAATTGTCAATTTCTTGCGGTAAGAGGTCCCGTGTTATCTGCAAATGTTCGTAAAGTTGTTGTTCCGTCCTCAAATTTGGCAGGGAATCTCTCAAAGATTTTCAAAGTCGGCCGACTGTGCAGGTCAATCCAAAACTTGAATATCGTAGTCTCGAATAGTGGCCAACACCAACCGCGTCGTATGGGAAAGAGCATTATCGTGCATGAGTAGAAATTCCTGGCCCATTACGATTCTGTGTGAGACAATAACAGGCTCTACTACTTCTTAGTGGTATTTTTGTGTTGTCATTCTGCCTTGGACCCAAACGAGCTGGGTTCGTCCACCAAGACGAATTCCTGCCCACACCATGATTGTTCCACCTTGGTATGAGTGGACAACCTGAGCGTGCCGTATACGGCTAACTCTGCTTGGAGTTCTCCAAACGTGTGTTCTTTGTGAATCCGGACGAAAACCAAACCGGGACTTATCGTTGAACAGCACCAAAGACGATTAGTTGTCACTCCATAGTAAATTCCCCCGAGCCCACGAAAGTCACCGACCGCCAACTATAATTTCTAAATTTAAAAACGTTACATAAACAAATTGTAGTTAAGTACTGGTTGTTTGGATCGTCATGTTTACAATACATACGTGTATTGCCCGCCGTGTTTTATTGATATATATGAAACGATATCAAATGTATCGATATTTTTTCAGGGCCAGTCGAACATCTTACCGAGATGAAGCTACTGAATACGTTCAAGTGAAACGCGGGGGCTCTAAATGCACATTGAAATGCAGAATTTCACCTAAACATAAAGGGAAAAGTAAGCCTTATAAAAAAATAAGCACGTTGGTTTGTGATGAAAACGAAGAAATGGTGGAAAGTGTAGTCTATCATGGTTGTGTTGCTAATCAAGGAGGATGCAAACACACTGTTGCATTTTTGATATGGGTCTTTAAAAGAACTGAGGAACCTGTCACTACGTCAATAAAATGTTACTGGATTAAACCGGCACTTTCTAAAGTTGGTAGTCATATTAAATTTATAAAAGCTAAAGATTTTAAAAACAAAAAGTTTTCTGATTTAAATATTACTGAAGATATAACCTTTTTTAATAAATTCGTATCGTAATGTAAAAATCGTAAAACTAGCAACGTGCAAATAATGACCTACTTTATAGATATCAACATTGAGATGAAAATTTCACTTCACTATCTGATCTGCAAATACAAAAGTGAAAAAGACGAATTTAGTGTGAACAACTTTGTAGAATTTTGCAAGCACAATATTACTGAAGAGCAATGTCTTTCAACAGAAAAAGCGACAAAAGATCAATCTACCACTTCTCTTTGGTTTGAACTCCGATGCGGTAGAATCACGGCTAGTATAGCTCATGAAGCATCGAAATGTAATACTGCGGATGGTGTACTTGTAGAAAAAAATTTAGGAGCTAATCAATTAAAGAACCGTTTGCTATACAAAGAGGTATAAAACCAATAAAAACTATACTTTTTGATATTTACGCATAAATATTCGCATATTTTAGTACCTGTTTTATATTTGTTTCAGGTAAACTTCTTGAAGACCAAGTCGGAGCACACATAGAGACAATTAAAAAAGTTAAGATCGGGAAGTGCAGTCTTTTTTTGTCAAAGGAACATCATGTTAGGGGCCTCTCCCGACGGCATGACAGTAAAACATACTATTGAAATTAAATATCCACTGAAAACTCAAACCATGAAAAATACATCAACAATGCAAAATTGGTAGCCAAATGTGAAGTACAACTACAAATGCACTTCACGAATAAATCAACAACCTTTTTTTGCATTGCTCATGCAAATTTTGAGACGTTTCAACAAGTTGATGTTTATGAAATTTTTTATAATTCAGATTATTGTAGTTAATGATTGTACATTATTCTGGAAACATATTTTTGATGCAATGATTAAATAAAACTCAATAAGCTTTGATTACACGTTTATTAATTTCTGTTGAACATTCACCATAGCACAAGCAATAACAACTAAGAATTCTAACAAATAAATCACTTTAATATAATATTTAAAGTCGATGCAAGCGTAAAGTGCCACCATAGAAAAATTTCTTAATCTGCCGATTGTTCTTTCAACATTTATACGGAGCGCTGCTATATGACTTCCAGTTTCGAACTAGCTTCGCCTTCGGTTACGCTAGGAGGCCTTATTAGATAACATCCTTTGTCTTGTAACAAGTGGGATACGTTTTTAAATCCTCTGTCAGCCATTATAGAACATCTCGGTGATAAATATTCTAAAAAGCCACAATCTTCAAATATTATTGTGTCGCTAGCTCTGCCCCAATAACCTTTAGATATGAAGTTAATAAGTCCATCAGGTGTAATGGATATCAAATATTTCATCGTATTACTATGTTTATACTCGGACCACGGCAAAGTCGGTTGCATTACATTGGGGGTTTTCGATTCTTAATTCAAAACAGTCCAAAATACTCACTGTAGTTGAATATCTCTTTCTAAAAGATATCGATAACTTTTCACGAATTTTTTCGATAGGTGGAAAATATATTAACTGTTTCATTCGGTCAGCTATTCATATTATTATTGAATATTTTACTAACTGAGTTTTTACATATATCAAAATATAGCCAGGCGCACATAAGAATCGTCTAGATAAATTTTCTTCAATGATATTAAAATATCTCTTACTGGACTAGCAACACTTTCAGATAGTAGATTCATAAGAAAAACATTTCTTCTGGCAGCCCTATATAAAAATAACGTTTTTAGTTATTTTGTTTATGGCATCATTGCGATATGGAGCCATGATTGTGTTGTGCCGACGTCCTACAAGTGGGCAGATAGGATAAGGGATTAAACACTAAAACAAGAGACTGAACAGTAGCGTATGTTATCTTTACCAATAAATTTATATATGTAAAAGAAGCTGAACTACTCACTGACTGATTAGCTGGCATTGCGCACAGTATTATTTGTCCTTGTTTTTGAGAAACATTAATTTCCTTGTTTACATTTTGTATTTTGCTTTGCTGAATATAGTATAGGTGACGTAAAACATTATGAACACAATTGAAAATCTATTGTTTGCGATCAATAACGGCTGCTAATATGTTTAATGGATTAAAACATTTTAACTTTCTGTTTCAGCCACTGGGCACGCCAAGTAGTCTTACCAAGAAATTGAAACAGCAGCAAAATCTGTCAGAGAAGAGGTTGAGAATGGTGCGCGCTCTTTGCCAGAAAACAAGGTGTCTAAAAGTAAAAATGGCAAATCTGGAACAAATTCTTGAAGAGTTTAAGGCCAAAGCTCTTGCTTGCTTGGATAGCAATCTGCTTAACTCGATCGATCCCGTTAATAAAGATTTCCTTATATTAACAATCAAAGAATGCTTCTCATTAAAGCTGTCGCTTTATAATATTTTGAAATAAGAATACATCATGAAACCAGAAAAATTTGCGAGTCCGTCGAAAAAATTAGGTTTATTTCAAGGACAATAATTATTAAATTGGAACCACCAATACCTATAAGTGTAATTATTATGATTTTCTTAAGAAATAAATATCCTTTAATGTTTATATTTAAATAATTATCATATCCCAACAACATGTATATAAAGAGGCCTAGAATTACTGACGTACGCTTTACGAACAAAATCTCTCTATTTTGTGGGTAACATTGCCAAAATGGCAGCACTCTGTACACAATAGCGGTTATGTGACCCCGCCTTCTATTGGATTTTCTGTTTGCGTGTTGGATAAATTGTTGTTAGTAGGATTCGGCCGATTCGACCACTAAGACAGGGAAAGGTCCTAGACCGTGCAGCCTTGTTTAATTCTTATTTTGTTCACAGAACTCTTTACAATATCTTGTTGTGTGATATTCCAAACTTATTGGGAGATTTAAACAACAGTCTTACCCAGCCTAACCCATCTCAAAGTAATACCATCCCTAAGTCGATATAGAAGAGGATCCGGCTTAAGAAAATACCCCCACATTCTTTTCGTTGATGAAATATTTTTTTTTATAATAAAATATATAAATAAATACAAATCGTTGACGGCAAGGCTATTTTTAATTAAAAATTATTTAATTAATTTGTTTTTACTGGTTACGGTCATTTTTTTCCTGAATAAAATTGGTCTCAATCGAAAAAAAAAAATAATGCCACAACATGGTTAACTACCTTTTTCCATGCAACAGTACCTGTCTACCAGGTGTAAACAGGTAAACTAATATAGTAATTTACCCTCATTGTTTTTTCGTTTTCAATATATTATGTGTTTTACCGGACTAATATAAAACCTGAGATTGCACTGAGATTTTAGTATCACTATCAAGTCACATTTTCTACTAATAATTCACAGACGTAGACATTTAATGCACAAAAAATCGATCTACTTAGGTCTAATTTGTGGGAAAACTTGTTTTCTCCATGTTTTTATGCAAAAACAACAAATTGAACTTGCCATCGCAATGTGATTGGTAATTTCGTCTTGCTTATAGAATACAGAATAGTTTAGTTTAGTGGCCAGTGTAATTTGTGGTATACGAGTATATTGTTCAATAGAGATACTCTGTAAATCCTGCTCTGTAAATTTACCCTTTTAGTTTTTATGCTGTGAGTTTATCAATGAAACAGCACCGTCTAGTTTAGTTGTGAGAAACATTTTGTACCGAGCATTACCTCCAGCTATTGTCAGTCAGTGGTTAAAAAACTAAATACTGCTATATAAGTTGCGCATCTATCTATTAGTCATTGTTCATATTAATATGTAATGACTCATTGTTTGATTGAATTGTCAAGATCCACCAATTAAGGCAGATAAAATTTTGGACCATACAGTTCAGTCTGACGTGTATTTTGTTTACAAATTTGTTCACAATGTAACAAAATAAACAAAGCACAGAAGTTAAGTACGCTGTTCGCTGAAAAAGCAGTGCCTAAGAAATGCCCACTGAACTGTTATTAAGAGTTGTTTCTCTGTTACAATTAACCCTACTAATAGTCTCTACTGGAAGGAATAAGTATATAGATATTTATCATATAAAAACCGAATGCTGTTGATAAACCCCATGTTTATTAGTTAATTCGTAAATAATCTGAATATAATTACGTTTACTAAATAACTACCGTAACTAAGTAAAAACTGTAGTACGTAAATGCTTAAAGTAATTCACCTGGATACTCGTATTACATAAAGTTTTTTTATGCTAAACTGATATTGGAAGAAGCTGTTTATGATTTAGCCAACGCGTGTGTGTTTGTATGTAATGTAGTCTCTAAATCAATGAGAAGTAAAAAAGCTCTTTTTTATTTTAATGATTTTAGAATAACACATCAATTCAAAACAAATGCCATAAAATTTTAGAGACGAAAGAAGTAGGACGTTGTTTTTACAATTATTTATATTGATAGTAAAGTCGAAAACTACAACACTTATAAAATTGAAATGTCTATAATGATTGTGATAACCAACGATATATTATATATCTCTTTCCAATAGACTGCCAGGTTCGTTTGTAAAAATAGTATGAGTGCTATGCTTTAGTAATTGTTCTGAGCCTTTCATGCATTTATTTTTACTAAAGAAGGCCCGCCTCTTAAAACGCTGCATGGGCACTTACTTTTACCTTTAAATCATAAAAAAATTGCTGGCAGATGACACTGACAGTGACAGCTGATTTAAATTTTTAGGGGTTCATTTCATTTTCATTTCAATTTTCATTAAAAAATAAACGTAAAGAAATTATTTCTTTATTGCAGTGTGTGTGATTACATTCCACAAAAATAATTGAATTAAATTTCTTACAAGGAATGAGTCATTTTAAAGCAGCAGTTATCTTATTATGAGTTATTTATTAATCCTAAAATTAACTTACATTTTAAAATGCTTTTCACTAAAATTTTTAACACGTCCTTACACCACAAAATAATTTTTAATACTCGTTTTTATTCAAATAAATGGAATCCTTTCAAGAGGACGTGGAATTTGATTTCTAATGAATTAAAATTTACGAACAAAAGTTCAATTTTTTATCCTGAACATGCAGATGTAGTCATTATTGGTGGGGGATTTATTGGAACTTCAGTCGGATACTGGTTAAAAACAAAAGCAGGGGCTGGTCTCTCTGTTGTTATTTTGGAAAAAGATCTCACAGTTAGTACAATCTTTAGTAATATATAATAAATCCACTTGTATTTATTATTATAATGAACTAATACTATTTTTTTTTCAGTATTCAGGGATTCAAACAAATTTTTCTTTAGGGTCATTAACTCAGCATTTTTCACTAGCAGAAAATATTTATCTATCTCAATATTCTGTAGATTTTTTTAGAAATATAAAAGCAAATTTAAATGAAGATGTAGATATTAAATTTTTCCCCAATGGATACTTAGTACTAGCTAGTGACAAATATGCGGATCAATTAGAACAAAATGTGGCACTGCAAAAAGAACATGGTGTAAAAAATGAATTATTAACATCTGCTGATATTAAAAAAAAGTACCCTTGGATTAACACAACAGACATTAAATTAGGTAAGGAATTAATATTGATTGTTTCATCACTATATGATATCAGAGCATTTATTTGCATCACATATTTTTACCATTCTTCATGCATTTGTTTCATTCCAGCCTTTAGAAAGTCTGCCGCTGATTATAAGCTTACCCCATAGTTTGTCTTTGTTACAGTCAAAACTCATAACCGGTCAAAACAACTTTTGACTGTAAAAATGTTGGTCAATACCACTATTTACTGATTTTTGCAGTCAAAAGTAGTTTTGACTAAGGATGTTGGTCAAAACTACTTTTAACAGCAAAAATATTGGGTAATAGTGATTTTGACCACATCATATCAGTTAAAAGTAGTTTTGACCAAGAATGTTAATCAAAACTACTTTTCACTTATACTTTTAGAAATTTAGAATTAA